CACCTACTATAATCCCATACCTTTTAAGTTTTCTAGCACTATAATTCCATATAATCTGTGCTCTGCTTGGCTAGTATGAGCAACATATTTCACTTTGCTAAAAATGAGGGGTTAAGGAAGGAAGACTGTAAATTTAAGCCAAAGCAGGGCAACTTAGTAACTTAGGGAGACCTGTCTCAAAATTTAAAAAGGGCTGGAGATGTAGCTCAGGGCAAAGATTCAATTTCAAATACAAAAAAAAAAAAAAAAAAAAAAAAACACAACTCTGCTTGCCTCACACAGGCAAATCTTTGGTTTAATCCTTCACATGGCAAAGAGAAACAAGTCCCTACCCCCCTAAAAGAGAGTCACAAAAGATTGATAATTCTCATCTTCTCTTATCTTAGCATAAGACATTATTATTATATCTAGATGTCCCCCCAAAGCCTCATGCACTCATAGGTAGGTTTTGGAAGGTTATTGGATCATGGGTATATGATACTAGATTACTCCCCTGATGAGTTTATATCTAGGTAGTCTGTTGGGAGGTGAAGCCTGATGGGAAGAGGTGGATTGCTATGGGTGTGGCTTGATCTAAACATGTATCTCTGCTCCTGTCTTGAGCACTCTCTGCTTAATGCTTGTTATGACAAGAGCTGTTTGTCCTCTGAGATGTCTCTCTACCTGCCATCCTGCCTTGGAGCCAGCCAACTACAAACTGTGAGCCAAAATAAATCTCCCCTCTTTGAACCCGTGAATGTCAGGTATTATGTGCCAAAATGGAGACAGATACTCTTGTTATGAAAACAGATGTAGACATGGATTTTATGTGTTTTAAATTTTCTGGTTTTTGTTTGTTTTTTCAGAGAGGGTCTTGTTATGTATTCCAGGCTGGTCTTGAATTCACTATGCAGCCCAGGCTGGCCTCAAACTCACAGCAATCCTTCTGCCTCAGTATTCCAAATTCTGGGATTATAGATATGCAACACCAAGCCTGGAAACAACTTCTGTTCTTGATGCTAGATCCTTTAACCCTATAACATCCTGAGAAGTGGGTCACTCTCTTTGTGCAAAACATTAAACCCTTACTGCTTAGTACTAGAAACTTGAAAAATTGAATCATACCTTTCAACCTCCACTATTTTATTACTCAGATTGCATGTCTGCTGCTTGTACAAACCACATAAAACATGTTAGGTCATGTTCTAGATAACTCTAAGATCCACTATTACGACTTTGTCTTTTCTTCCAAGTATTCCAATGAGCTCTTTATTAGCATTACAGAAAACTTTTATTATAAAGCCAAAAGTATAATATTACGAATCTGTCCACCTAGACTATTCTTGGTTCTGCTGAGTCCACTTTTTATTTAGTTTTATTTTGTTTGAGACAGAGTCTCGTGATAGGCTCTAACTTGTGATCCTCCTACCTCAGCCTCCCAGAGTGAAGGCATTACAGGCACTCACTACCATACCAGCTTTAAATTTTAGTTTCTCCACATATCAAATGGATATCACAGGTTATTAGTCTTCTAAAAAGGTTCAACAATTTAAGTATGGTATCTACAAAATTAATGGGCTAATATATTATTATATACTTATCAATCACATAACAAATATCTCACATCTCTGCAGAGGACCTGAGTTTTTCTCAAGTATCATCTAGAAAGTAGAACTATATAAATTAGCTGATATTCAATAAATATTGTCATTAGTGGACCTCATAAAACCTCATATTAGGTAAAAGGAATCTGCCGTCCTAGTCCTCTCTTTAAAAAAGTTTGAAGTCAGGCCTGGTGGCGCATACCTATAATCCCAACACTCAGGAGGCTGAGGCAAGAGGACCACCAGTCTATGCTACATAATAAGTTCAAGGCCAGCTTGAACTACATAGTGAGTCCCTATCTCCAAAAAAAAAAGTCTGACTACAGACAAATCAAAGCCTTTATGAAAAGTCAGTTAAGTATTGAGAATGTTGCAATCAAATTCTAAATAAACATAGCTGCGACTATGGTGATACATTACTATAATCCTAGCACTCAGGAGGCTAACGCAGGATTCCCATGAGTTTGATGCCAACCTGAACTACATAGTGAGTTCAAGACCAGCCTGGACTACATAGTGAGACCCTGTCTCAAAACCAACTTTAAAATGTCACCATATAAAACACAACATTTATATACTACTTTATTAAAATAAGATTTAATTTGGCACTTGTCATTTCAGGGTTCTAAATATTTCAGTTAATATTACTATAGTGTGAAAGAATATGCTTTACACACTCATGATAAAAGTGGCTTTTTGGTCAGGGATTTAGCTTAGTGGTATAAGTACCTGCCTGCCAAGTGCAAGATCATGAGTTCGATCCCTCATACCCCCCCCAAAAAAGTGGTTTTTTACCAACACATTCAGAGACTGTTTCTATGTGATAGTTATGTACAACATCTCATAGCAGTACTACCAAAGACAGGAAGACTTTGAAGACTGCCTCCCCAAATCACTCTATTTTTTTCCACACATATTTTTATCCAGCAGGAAGCTAATTCTCTTGAAAGTAAGTTTTTTTTGTTGTCAGGGATAGCTGAGAGGCAACAAACTCCAATGTAAATTATGTTTCACTATCACACTGTACTAAAACTAAAGTACAGAAATTTCTAATATGCAACCACGCATGGAATAGTACATGCCTGCAATCCCACTTCTTGGGAGGCTGAGGCAGAATTTTTATGAGTTTGAGGCCAGCCTAGGCTACAAAATGAGTGCAAGGCCAGGCTACACTACATAATAAGACCTTGTTTAAAAAAAAAAAAAATTTCCCATATGCTAAAGATATAAATAAGATAGAGAACATAGACAATATAGACTTTTATTTCTAAAGGAAAATAATTACACAATTTCTTTCAATTTTTGTTTTATTTTTTCAATATTTAGGATTATACTCTGAGGACTTTTTCTTTTTCTTTTTTTTTTTTTTTGTCTTTTTAATTTTTATCGGTACTAGGGATCGAACTCACGACTGCCTGCTTACAAAGCAGGCGCTCATGCCGCTGAGCTAAATCCCCAGCCCCGAGGACTTTTTCTTTTTAGGCAGTCTCACTAAGCTGCCCAGGTTGTGCTCAAACTTGTAATCTTTCTGCCTCAGTGTTAGCACTTTTTGGTGTGGTGACCAAGCCAGGGCTTTAGCACATGCTGGGCCAGAGCTCTATTGCTGAGCTACATGCCCTGCCCCAAATAATCTACTCATACACACACTACTCATACCCAGTAGCCTATACCATATTTTGCTCTGGATGAGTAAACATTAAAGGACCCTACAATAACAAGATACTGCAATAAAAGCATTCTTCTAGGAGGGTATATTGGTGCCTTCTTTATCCTTTCCAGAGATTTTCAGATGTTCTTTAGAAGTGGTAAGGAACAGAACAGTTAAAAAGAAGAAGAAAAAAAAAAAAAAAGAGCGAAAGAAAGAAAAGCAAAAAGAAACCTCCCAGAAACTGTGTTTACTGTCCCAAACTCAAACTCCACTGTCCTTGAACTTCAAAATCATGAAAATGCCTGCATTTCCCTCTACATCTTGCTTTTCACTGCTAGGCCCTGCAAAGGAAATAGGTTTCAACAAGACAGAAATTCTAGAACACTTTCTAGAGTTGACAGTGAAGAAAGACAATACCAATGGACCTCAGGCTGCTCTTGTTTTCACTAACAGACAATGCAAAATACTTAACTGAGGCATGGTGGAAAGGTGGGGTTCTTTGGGGGAGGAAAAAAACAAGCTCTCTGCATACTGGAGGTATAAGAGTAATTTCTAAAAATGTAGGGCCAGGTGTGGTGGTGCATGCCTGTAATCCCAGCACTTGAGAGGCTGAGGCAATAGGATCACTGTGCATTCCAGGCCAGCCTGGGATACACAGTTAATTAAGACTGTCTCAAAAAGCCAGCCATTTCCTAGCTTGTTATTCTGCACAAAAAAGTGTTTCATTAGCTATTTGCATAGGTCCGGAATAACCTACGTCTTCATCTTTAAATACTGGTATCAGCACCATCTTGATCTCAAAAGGTTATGAAGATTAAGTAACACATAACGCCTTGCACATAAATTTAAAAAATGTTGAGAGTTGGGCATGGTGGTGCACATCTATAACGCAGTACTTGGAAGGCAGAGACTGGAGGATCGCTGTGAGTTTGAGGCCAGCTGAATTGTGTACTGAGTTAAAGGCCGACTGAACAACATAGTGTGAAACCTTGACTCAAAAGAAAAACAAACAAAACAAAAACTAACAAGGTAAATATAAAGCGTAACTTAAAATAGATACAGTATCCTTATTTTCATTCAGAAATCTTAAATCTTGGTTTTATATTTCACTGTACAATGGTATCTATACTTTTACCCAATTCACTTTAACATTTAAATTTACAAACTTGAAGGCTACCTTGAAATACTAGTTTAATTAAAACCAAGGCATTTAGGGACAAAAGTTTCAGGCTAAAATACAACCTTACAGAACACTATCCAGGAGTAATTACACTAATAAAATGACTGGTATGACAAAATAGTGCAAATTCAGCAGTAATCACACACAGCTATTCTTTTTAAAACTCTTGTCTCCATTTGCTTTTTTTCCTGACACTACAGTACTCTGCTTTCATTAAAAAAGCCTGTAACAAGGTACAGCTTCTTCGATATCAAACCTTTCGGAAAATCTGGCTCAGAGGAAGCTATACACTGTTCACTGTGGTAAAAAGGATCCGTGTGGTCACTCTAGGACAACTGTCACTGTCACCAGTTGGTCTGGGTGTCTCATAGGGACTTGCGAAGAGTCCCAGTCGGTGCCTGAAACCAAGTGGATAGCTAGGGTGCCCTGAAAGAGGGAAGGGGCTGACAGATGGGTGGGGGGGCCCGACCTGCGGGGACTCGCGCTCCCGAGGCTGGGTACAGGCTCGTCCTGCAGCAAAGGGGCGCAGCTGGTGCGCTCCCCAGCGGCTCCCACCGCTTTCTTCCCGGTGCCGCCAGACCCCAGTTACCTTTCTCGTCCTCGTCGATGCGCAGGGCGACAGAGATGTACTCGAAGGCCTGTTTGTGGAAGGCTCGGACGCGCTCGGCCTCCCCGCCCGGCTCCGGCGCCGGAGGCGAGGCCGAGGCCGGCGCCGGCGCGGCCCGGGAGCTCCTCTTGGCGGCCATGAGGGCGCGGGACAAGCGCTGGCAGAGCCACACGAAGAGGAGCCCCAGGTGGAAGGCCACCAGGCGCAGCAGCGCGAAGCCTGCGAACAGCGGGTAGGAGAAGTAATACAGGTTCCGCTTATGGGGCGACGCCGGCGAAGGGGCCGGCCCGGCGGCCGGAGGGGCGGGGGCCGGGCAGGGGGGCGGAGGCCTGCGAGGCACCGGGCTGCTGGGGCCGCCGGAGCCTTTCTTCTTCCCTCGTCCACCCGGAGAACTCATTCACAGCTCCCACTGCCGCCGTCGCCATAACCTGCCTCCCTCAGACCGACGGCGACCAAGCTTCAGCGGCGGCCACTGCCACGCGAGGGCCACGGACCCCCGCGGGGCTCAGCCGCAGGGCACCTGCACGCGCCGCCCGCCGGCCCCGCCCCCTGCCCTTCCGTCGGCGGGAGCACAGCGCCTTCTCCGCCGGGTCACGGCTCCAGCCCCTCCCTCGCTCCCTCTGTCCTTTTCTAATGCCCGGTAACGTAGAGCGGCGGCCGCGCACGCGCACGCTCTCCCGCGTCCTGCTTCAGCGTGCGCGCGCTCGCTGCCGTCTTTGTTGACCTGCAGTCCTGTGCGCATGTGCGGACCCGCCTTCTCTCTGCCCCTTCCCCAGGGATCTGCAGTTTCACTCGAGTGGGTCTCGGACTAGGGGTTTGTGATTGACGTCTCGGCCCTGGGGGTTCGGAGTAGCGAAGCTTGTACTGGAAGGAAGAAGCCCGGCTTGGCGTGGGTCCTATCTCCCAGTATCAGTGTTTTATTGTGTCAGTCTTAGGCAAAAAATGATCACAGTATGAGTGAATCCGGAAATTATTACCTGAGGCGACATCAGTCGGAGAGACAAATGTCACCCTCAAACGAAAAATACTAGCTCAGTATAATGGGCGACCCAGAGGCTTGAGTAGATTAGTAAACATTGAGATATCTTTTCTGCAGAATTGTGTGAATAAGGTAATTCTTAGGTTTTGCACAGTAACCATCCCATAGTTCGCTAAGGAATGTGTACTATGGTTGTGTATGTGTGTGTCTCCAAGTTCCTTTGGCGACCCAAATCTCTTCGTTTTGGAGACTACCTGTTGTTCCTATTCCCTGTATTCTCGTAAGCTGCAAGCGCAGAACCCAGATCACGGTGGAAAAAAAAATACGAGGTCAGTCAGCCTCTTGAGAACTGGCATCTTGGATGGAGGCACAGAGAAACAAAAGGTTGGAACTGAGTTGTTTGATCAGCTCTTCCTATAGAGATCCCTAGATCTGCTATGTTCCTGGACGACTGGCTTGAGTAGTAATTTATTCAATAAACTTCCCGTCTTCTCTATTTCTCTCTGCCTTTCTTCTTTCCTCTTTCTCCCTTTCCAGCTTTGTGTATCTCTATTTTGAAAACAGAAACAAAAATTCTTTTTAACTTAGGTTAGCTACAGTTGTTCCTTGGGTTCCTTGTTGGCTAAAGATAAGAATGCTAATACAAAGCCTCCATTGTTCACAGAGTGAGGTTTACAAAAGCCTCCTGAGATCTTGTAAGAATTTCCTTTTTTTTAATTTTTTTATTTTTTTATTTTTTTGGAGACAGGGTCTGGCTTTGCAGTTCAGGCTGGCCTTGAGCTCACTTTGTAGCCTAGGTTGGTCTCCAATTTGCCATGATCCTCCTGCCTCAGCCTCCTGAATGCACCTCCACGTCTGGCAGAATCTCCACATTTGGCCACAATGTTATTTATTCCCCGTCAATACTTTCCTACAGAATATCTTAGGCCAGTACAAAAATAGCTGTACTGTGATTCCCTGTTAATGCTGCTTCTCTACAGATCCGATGTCTTAATTTTTAATATCATCTACCTTTTGAATCTTACTCATTTCAATTCCTGATCTCCCTCCAGTTTACCTGGTTTCTCTTTTGAACCCCACAGCAGTTGTTACATGGAATCTTGTTTTATTTATACATGTCATAGAAGATCTATGGAATTTAAATGTGGCACAATTAAAGAAAAATAATAAGGATCCATTTTAATGAATGTAACCAGTCCTTTGAATTGACTGTGAGCCCCTCTCTGCTCTTAATTCCCTGTCTCCCCTTCTTAAAGGAGACTGCTTCTCTGAATTTCGTATTAATTATTTTTATGCCTTTCCTTTTATTTTTTAACTTTCTTCAAGTTTTCTTCCTTTTTAATCTGTATTTGTTAAGTTTACTTTCTTCTACTTTTGTTTTTGTTTGTTTGTTTTTGTTTTTTTGAGGCAGAGTTTCACTATGCAATTCAGGTTGGCCTTCAACTCACTATGTAGCCCAGACTGTCCTCAAACTCATGGCAGTCCTCGGGTCTCAGCCTCCTGAGTGCTGGGCTTACTGGCATGCACCACCACACCCAGCAAGTTTATTTTCTTGATTGATAACACCCCCTATAAAAGTGTTGAGAGTTGTTATTAAAAATGGAACAAAAATGAAAGCACTTATTCTATTGAAAGTGTAAATTTGTTTTTCTGTTAGATAATAAACAAATCCCTGTAACAGCATATTCAGCCAAACAAAGATATTTTTCTTTGTGCTCTCTTTTACAGATAGATATAAATGCGATTGGTGGTTGGTATTGAGATAGCTTGGATCCCGGAATAAAATCCAAGGAAGCAAGGAATTAAGAAATTTGGACTAAAGGCTTTTATTTCAGGCCTGGTGACGCAGCTCCCTTAGGATCAACCCAGAGACTGAGCGCCTCACAGACTGAGGAAGGGATTTTTAAGGCAAGAAAAAAAAAAAAAAAAAAAAACCCACAGAGCTGTTAAGCTGTTGATTTAGTCCTGACATCTGGAAACTGTAAAGCTGTCGACTTAGTCGACTTAGTTCTGATAATATCTGGAGCTTTTGGTGCATTTTGTTACTCCCACCCTGCGGGTAAACATTATCTCGAAATAGCACATCTGCAATAACATGTGGAAAAGAAAGTAGAGAGTTAATTATCTCAGAACAGCTCATTAGCAATAACATGTGCAAAGCGGTAGAAAGTTACAAGAAGCTGAAACTTAAGTTTTTACAAGGATTAGAAACTTAACCCTATCGGTGCATACAGACCAAGAGGAGGTGCATTGGTTAGAGTTAAGCCATAACAGTATTAAGGTTTAGATCTAAACTATCTCCCCAAATTTTCTTTTTTTAATTTTTAATTTATTAGTACATGTTTACAGTTCATACGGTTTACAGTCACCTTGGGGAGTGGATACATGGACAGACTAGTTTGTCTTTTCTTTTTTATTCCCCTTCCTCTCCCTCCCTCTTCTTCCAATTCCCCATCCCAATTTTTGTTCTTGGGGATATTATTAATCTTAGTTTGTGTTACAGCATATAATATTCATATTAATTGAAGTTGTTAGGGTTCTATACACGTACAGCTTTTTTAAACTGTTGTATTTATGTAACAATATGTTGTATAGTTTTGCCTGGCCTTAAGTATGTAAATTTAATCTTGTTCTTTTTATTTCTTTTTTTATGTGCTTTTTATATGTAATTCTATTCATAATTTGCCTTTTCTGTCCAATATGTGTTTGAAATTCCTCCCTATTGATATCTTTTTTGTGATTTTTATCTTTATTAGCACATGCTTGCAGTACCTAATGATCACATTCATCATGGATATGAATGTCCATGCATATAACACATCCTAATTCTTTTTTTTTTTTAATCAGTACCGGGGATCGAACTCACGACCACCTGCTTGCAAGACAGGTGCTTATGCTGCTGAGCTAAATCCCCAGCCCCCCTAATTCTTTTTACCTTCTTGTCCCTTCATCTCCTGTCTGTTAATTTCTATAACTATAGTGCATTTATTTTTCCCCTACAACACAGTATTCCCTTATATTATCTATTGCAACTTAGTTTACCATTCACCTGTTGATGGATATTTAGTTTACAGCAGGTGTTTTTTAAAAAACGTTGTGGTTGTTTGTTTTCCTTCGGTAACTAACTTTTGAACCTAGGGCTTGGTGCCTGCTAGGTAAGCAGTCTACCACTGAGCTATTCCCCCAGCCTGGTAACTGACTTTCTAACTTCGCTATGATATGATCCAATAGTACAGAAGTTAAATGTTTTTTATTGCATTCAAATCCTGCTCTATCACTGTCTGTGATCTTAGCCAGTGATTCAGCTTCTAGATCTATTTAGAGTAGAATGTAAATGCTAGAATCAAATTAGTGCTTGATATTTGTTTCACACAAAATCTTCTACACTAAAATAGATTATTGGCAAGTGCCTAAGCACATTTGTTTCCCTTTTCAGTACCACAGTTATCCTGATATCCTTTTTCTTTTACATACATCACTTCCTCTTGCCTCTGCTGTTAAACACCTTCAAGGATTTTCTGAAAATTTTTCTTGAAAAATCCTTCGTGTGTTACTTCCAGCAAAAATTATCCTATGTTTAAAACTCTTATCACCATGTGATTGTGTTACATGATGGCACCCATATTGTATTGCCCCATGAGATAGCTAAACACTTTATCACTTCCTGCTATAGAGAGTAAACTGATATTTTTAGTAAACTGTTGAAGACAATGGCTATACTTGATGTACATTTCGCCTCACTTTTTTTTTTATCTTTTTGAGATAGAGTTTCACTATGCATTTCAAGCTGACCTTGAGATTACAGCAATTCTCCTGCCTCAGCCTCTTGAGTGCCAGGGTCACAGGCATGTGCCACCATGCTTGACCCATTGCCTCACTTTCTACATCTACCCTGATGCCTTTCTTATGGTACTTATTTAATAAATATGAATGATTTGAAAAGCAACCAGACTTGATAATTATATCCACTGCTGTGTAATATACCACTCTTAAGATTCACAGGTTCAAAATAATCACTGTTTGGGCTAGGGATTTAGCTCAGCAGCATAAGCACCTGCCTTGCAAGCAAGCAGTTGTGAGTTTGATCCCTGGTACCGATAAAAACGAAACACACACACACACACACACACACACACACACACAAAATCACTGTTTATTTGCAGTTGCAGTTCTGGCATTGAACCCAGAGCCTTACACATGTTAGGCAAGTGTTCTGCCACTGACCTGGCTCTTCAGCCCAAAATTTTATTTTGAGACAGGGTCTTGCAAAATTGTACAGGTTGGCCTTGAATTTGGCATCCTCCTGCTTCTTCAGTATCTGGGATTGCAGGTATGGACCAGCACACCTAATATAACAGCCATTTACTTACTGACATGGTAAAATGAGGCCACCTTTGTAAGTCACCTAGCACAAAGATTTCATTTGTTTTCATTGTTGTTTTTATTTTTGTTTGAGACAGGGTTTTGCTATGTAGTTCAGGCTGGCCTTCAACTCACTGTATAGTCTAGGTTGGCCTCAAACTCACCACCATCCTTCTGCCTCATCTTCCCAAGTGCAGAGATTAAAAATGTGCACCATAGGGGCTGGGGATTTAGCTCAGCGGCATAAGCACCTGCCTTGCAAGCAGGCAGTCGT